ATAGCTCATTTATTGCAATCGCGTAACAAATGTCGAAGTTAGGCGACTTTTCTTAAATACGGCCTTCAATTTATATTGTGTGTACCGGACTTTCAGATTTTTTGAGCAGTGTGGCTAAGAAATTCATCAATATTTATTTAAAATTTATATCTACAATTGCTCCTTAGCAAAAAACTGTTTTTTTCCAAAAATTTAAGGAAAATGGGAGTGGCACCGCCCACTTATATCATATATGTGTATCTCGAAACTTCTTGACCCATCCGAGGCCGTATTTAAGAAAAGTCGCCTAACTTCGACAATTTTTATGCGGTTGCAATAAATGAGCTATCAGTTTATTTAAAACTAGATTTTATTTTAGATCGTACTACATATTTTGAAATTGTGGAAATTATCGATGGTCAAAAGTTAAAAAATTAAGAAAAATATGGGATTTTTTTATTTTACCCAATAAAAAATCCCAACAAGCCTAGTACGACAATAGATTATTATACATCATTTTAAAGGCCTATATATCCTCTTCTCAGATCATATAGGATCTTTGAAATCGAATGAAAAAAAGTCATTCCAAAACTCATAAATCTACAAAATCGTATTTTCTGACCTTAATCGATAGGTTGCGACCTCTAAAGGACCTTTAAAAAAATGTATGAAAATAGGAGATAATATTTCTCATAAAAACGAATAAAATTAGGGGGTCTAGAAATTTCCAATAAAGCATTTGCGATGGGCACCCTAACATACATGCTTCCTCGAGGCATGCGGAATGAAAAATTCAGTTTGTATGGGAAGTGGAAAGCCCCCTTCACCTATTCCGCTCATGTTTGTCCATGAGTATGGAATTGGTTTTATATATCTCTATACCAAGTTCCAGTACTCTAACAAAAATACTTCAAGAGGAATGTGTTATGGTTACCTGCGGTGTAGTGTGAAATTTGAAAAGCTCCTTCATGACTCTTCTTATGTTACCCCCGTGTGCACCTTGCTTGTTGTCCAGCCCGGGGATTCAGCCAATGCCGTGGGTTAACGAAATAAGGGCAACAGTAAGAATGGCCTACA